GATGCAAATTTCGCATCCAGCGTTGCAGAAGCGCCTCTAGTGGCTGTCAGGAAGACAGCCAATAGAGGTTGGATTAAACCTGCTATTTTAACATAGCAGTTTCTCTGAATGTTTACATGTGAAGGGTTATAACCTGAGGGACCTGGTACCCAGACCACTTCATTGATTCAAGTGGTCTGGGTGACTATAGTGTTCCTTTAAATCTCTGATGGCAGCCTGAGGACTAGTTTGGGAACCACTGAATTACAAAGTGTATCTTAAAGTAGCCTTTCTTACTCACTAGAACCTACAGCCTTGTGAATAAGTAAGGCTACTCATCGATATGCCTTGTAATTTAGTGGTTACAGAACCACCTCATAGCCCAGCAGCTGTTTAGGATTCATGTATTTCAATTTCTATTCTAATGGAGATACAGACAAAACCTAGAAGGTTGCCTCGACATGAGGACTAGTTTGAGAACCACTGCACTACACTATTTTATAGGAGAAGTAGGAATACATACACACATGCATTCTACAAAGATGTATCAGTCAAATGGGCATGATAGTACACTATTTAGGCAATATTTTACTCAATACTGCCTTTATGTTTGTATTTTTGTAACAGACAGTTTAGCAACAATACTTAATCCCTTAAAGGGACACTATAGAACAACTACAGCTTATTGGATTTGTTCTGGTGAGTAGAATCATTACCTTCAGGCTTTTTTGCTGTAAATACTGTCTTTTCAGAGAAAATGCAGTGTTTACATTACAGCCTAGTGATAGCTTCACTGGCCACTTCTCAGATGGCTGTTAGAGATCATTCCTGGGTCATGGCTGCCTAAAATGCATCCAAACATTCAGTATCTCCTCCCTCTGCATGCAGACACTGAACTTTCCTCATAGAGATTCATTGATTTATTGAACAGGGCTGATTGAACAGGGCTGTGTTTGAATTGTGCTGGCTCTGCCCTTGATCTGCCTCCTTGTCAGTCTCAACTTCTGATGATGTCAGCAGACTGCTTGTTTTTTTGAGGCAAACAGCATGCATAGCTACAGCTTCAGGCTTGAATACAGTATGATTTTGCTATATTTATGGGTGCATGAGGGGCCCAGCGGGGCTAGCTGGTGGTTTTAACACTATAGGGTCAGGAATACATGTTTGTGTTCCTGACCCTATAGTGATCCTTTAAGGACTGAGGCAGTTGAACAAGTTGTGATCAAAACAAAACGTAAACAAAAATCTTGAATTTGCGCTATATGTCTGTTAAGGCGTAATTCACCTCTTTCATATTATGTGCACCCACATTTATCATATATAATTTTGTTCAGGAGAAACAGGGCTTTCATGTCGCATCAATATTTAACATAATTTTATATGAATAAAATATAAAAAAAATTGAGAAATTAAGAATTTTTTTTTTTTTTTGCATGGCATTTTAACTGTGAATGTCACAATACTGTTACATTGTTACTGAAATAAAGTACACATATTTATGTGCAGCGATGTCTCACAAGTAAAATAGTACCCCCAATGTACAGGCTTTATGGTGTTTTGCAAAGTTACAAAGTCCCTTACTATTTTATATCTATAATTACATATATTTGTATATTGAATCAACATCCTGCATATATTATATACGCATATATATATATATGTATATATATATATATATATATATATAAAATTCATGTCATTCTAAGTGTATTTTAATATTAATATGTATATATAATTATATATATTTTATTAATGATGTATGTACCTGTATATATATAAAAGTATTTTGTTCATATATATAAGTACTTTTTATTCAATTTAAAAACTGTTTTACAACTTTTCCTAACTTTTAAAAACTTTTTTATAGGCAAGAGGGTAGGCCCCCTGCAGGCACTGCATAAATGCGATCACATGGCCGGGGGGGGCCGGATCAGGCAGAGAGGGTCAGGCAGACCCCAGGATTGCGAGCGCTGGCGTGTGATCGGCGGGGACCCAGTAAGTATGAAGGACCACCCCAAAAAGGACTGCATAGAATGCCCACTGTCCTTAATGGGTTAAAGACCTGAAAATTAATACTATAGTGTAAGAAATACAAATTTGCCAACCGCTGCAAGGGTTAAAAAAAAAGGTTTCTAATTAACCTTTATATCTCGCGGTGCACTATTGCAGTCAGACTTCCATGACTAATCTCATCAATTCTGATTATCTCAACCAATCCAATGCTTCCCTATAGGAATGTATTTGGAGGATACTGCACATGTACAGCAAATCACTATGCAAATAAGCCCTTCCTCATCAAGGTACATTGAATCAACATCCTGCATATATTGCATAACGCATCCAGGAAGTTCCTCTAGCACCTCCAGGAGTGGATTGAGGCAGCGATGTAAACACTGCTTTTCTCTGAAAAGGCAGCACATAGACTGCTGTCCTTGCATGGACCGGGTATATATCCAGAACCACGAAATTGAGCTGTAGTTGTTCTAGTTATTATAATGTCCCTTTAACCTCGGTTTGGCAAACTGCATTTCTAAAAAAAAAAGCCATACATTGCAAATTAATCTTTTGCTTTTGGACTGGCTCCACAATTTAGACCGTACCAGCCTTGCAAAATCTATTATTATTAAACCCTGCAATGTTTTTGCTGTACATAAAAACAATTTCTATATGATATTAATTCTGTCCTACAATGCCCCCTGCTGTTTTAATACAAGCAGAACCGTCTTTGTCCCTGGAAACTCACTTTCTTCTTTAGCTGTCACTTAACTGCAGTTGTATTAATTTAAAGATTCCTTGAAAAAATGTCTAGAACATGTCAATCTACATTTAGTGTCAGGAATATGATGTTACTGAAACCAAGCATGAGAGGGAAGAAAGGGTAAAAAACAAGTAAAATAAAACTAGGATTCTGAACATATTATCATTACACGGGAGTACACTTGACTGCAGCATGCATATTTGTGTGCAAGGTGTGTGTTTGGTGCTCGCAGGCTAACCCTGATGAAGGCAATTTGTCCTTACTACCCCCTGTTTAGTGTTCTCTATGTGTGTTTTTTATGGTTTTGAAGAAAAAGTGCTGACTATAGCTATGCACCTGGTTTACACTGAGAAAATTGTGCATTTTTAAAAATGATTATTATTTATTTAGATGGCAGTTTCCCCTGGGTACACACTCTAAAATAATGTTCTGTGCATGACTATGGCAACTGGTTTTAAATTCTAATTGCACAAAGGTTATCCCTCCTTCTTAAATATGTACTTGAATATGACAAGCTAAATGATCTAAACTATACAGCAATAGAACAGGAACCGGGAATAATGGAATATGAATATAAGAGAACACATTTTACAGAAATCTATTCAACAAATATAAAGAGTTGTAGATATCTGAAAACGGTTTGCAAAATTTAAATTAGAATAACCAAATGCAATGGAGATTTTTTTTTTCCAACTGTGTTTTGCAAATCAGTTCTCACGTCACTACAACCTAAATGAATAGATCCTAAAAAACAAATAAATGTATTTTTAATTGTATGGTAGATCCATGGAAGCAAAAACAAAACAAACAAAAAAAAAAACATGAAAAATATTTAGTAAAAACAACAGAATAATAACAACATAGAAAACATTCTTCTAAATAAATATTTGGAAGTCAGTTGTAAGGGACACTTGCTATCAGATGAACAAGTAGTTTTTCTATCAGGCATACTGGCTTTATCAGCATGATATGGTCTTTGTAAATAGTTAGGTATACTACCAGTTTTTTATTATTTCTTTTATAGCTAAAAGGAGTAGACCTATTTGTGTATGTGCTCGTTTCTCAAAAAAAAAATAAAAAATGAGTTGCATTTCTTTTAACTGGAGGCCATAAACTCATCTTCTGATTTACAAGACATTGAGCCTTCAAATATCTGGTTACAATCTCAGAACCTATGAGAACACAGCTATACATGTTGATCAAAAAACTCTCCCACTGAGCCTCACAGTTATTCTCATTACCTCCTACTCTCACGCAACCCTTTTTTTGCTTTTCCCGTGTCAATAAGTTATTGTATTGTAGGCTATTCACAAAGAGCATTTAAAAGCAGAGTTAAAAATCTAAGAAATTTAACTAAGGAACAAAGAACTATATGAAAAAATTGTATCTTTTATCCAGCACCTGTCTATCTTCTTGTAATATAAGAAGAACAGAGATAACCTTGGCATTCTAGATGTTTGTAAACAACCTTCCCATTTAGGGTGAATTGTCAGGAATCGACCAAGCAATTGAAAATGTTAGATCACCACGACTGAGTTGCAAAATCTTTCTAGTTACTGGCTAGAGTTGAGCAGACACCTGGAAGTTCGGGTCCGGCGGGTTCGGCCAAACTTTGAAAAAAAGTCCAGGTTCGGGCTCGAACTTGACCCCCACCTTGACCCCGATCTTGACCCTGAACTTTTGGCCACAAAAATGCCTCTAAAAAACTCCTGGAAAGAGCTAGAGAACTGCAAAAGCAAGTAAAATGGGGACAAGGGCCCTGCAAACAAATGTGGATAGGGAAATCACTTAAAATAACATAAAAATTTAAAATACAGCTGAGCCATAAAATAGCACTAGATGGAATCTATGATTTTAGCGTTGGAAGAACATAAATCAAAATCTAAAGCATGGCTTTCATTGTTCAAACTGAGCTCAACTCCTGATGCATGGAGAAAAGGCCTTCACAAGCCTCTGCTATTGTGTACATAGTTTATACTAAGTGACCCATAGGTTGAGGAGGCGGTGACCGTGGCGGTGTAGGTGGAAGCAGCGGTGGAGGAGGAGGATGAGGTAGCCAACACTGGTATTTATGTTTGTTTGATTTTGGAATTGTGGTAGCCCACAAAATATTGGGACATACAACAAAAGAAACATTTGCTGCCTGCGGTGCATTTCTTGCAGTCCGGATCCATGGAGAAATGCTCAACTCCTGATGCATGGAGAAAAGGCCTTCACAAGTTTCTGCTAATGTGTACCTAGTGACCCATAGGTTGAGGAGGCGGTGACCGTTGCGGAGGATGAGGATGAGGTGGCCAACATTGTTTTTATAAATATACATATATATATTATATATATTTTAATTGGGGTAGCCCCCAAAATATTGGGACATATAAAAAAAGACAACTCTGTTCCACAGGGTAGCTGTTGACATTATAGTTGCGCAGGAACTTTGTTGACTCTAGGGAACCTCGGGCAAATCGCACATCCCCATGGTGGCGACTTTGCATGCAGATGTCATCCATATCAACTTTTGATGCCAGTTTCTGCGCCTACCATGGTGACCACGGGTAACGGGGAATCAGGGTTCCATTCTTTACAGGGACCCTGAGAAACGACTACCACATGCAAGAAAGGCAGCAGGCGCGCAAACTTTGCAGTTCGGGTTCGCTCAAGTCTATTATGGATCCTATGATCGCTACATGTATTAGTTGGATAACTGGTAATTCTCGAGCTAATACATGCCGACGAGCTACTTTGTAGATGTGTCTTTACACAATATAGAAATGTATATTAATGCTTCTGTATATGAAGCGATCACAATCGATCACAATAACACTTATTTTTCACTTTAAAAAAAAAAAATCAGGCTACACAAAAATTGGTAATTCACAATATGACATCTGAAAAGCACATTATGCTTTTATGATTTTTTATGATTTTTTAAAAAGGAACACACTACATGAAGGTCTTGTTCACTAGAGTGTGTAGTCATGAATGTAACCAGTAAAACTTTGTTGTTTACAGCCACTGGTTGGCCCATACATATTTTAAAACTTGTTTAATTTTGTTGTAGCATGACTTGTAGATATGAAGAGCAGGCCCCAAAATTTACTGTTTAGCACCCAAAAAAATTTAAGTTTTAAAACTGCAATGTGACAGCAGTATTTGACGCTTCCATTTGACTCTCACATATGAAGTGCACCACAGGCCGCAAATGTACTATTTAGCAGATTAGCACCCAGAAAATAAGAATGTTTACCACAGCGCTGTAAGCCCACTATTAGACGCTTCGATTTGACTCTCAGATATGAAGTGCAGTCCGCAAATGTACTATTTAGCAGATTAGCACCAAAACAATTAGAATGTTTACAATTGCGCTGTAACCGCAGTATTAGACGCTTCTATTTGACTCTCAGATATGAAGTGCACACCAAAAAATTTACTATTTAGCAGATTAGCACCCAGAAAATAAGAATGTTTATCACTGCACTGTAAGCGCACTTTTAGATGCTTCTATTTGACTCTCAGATATGAAGTGCACGCCCCAAAATATACTATTTAGCAGTTTAGAACCAAAACAATTAGAATGTTTACAATTGCGCTGTAACCGCAGTATTAGACACTTCTATTTGACTCTCAGATATGAAGAGCAGGCCACAAAATGTACTATTTAGCAGATTAACACCCAGAAAATAAGAATGTTTACCACTGCGCTGTAAGCGCACTATAAGACACTTCGATTTGACTCTCAGATATGAAATGAACACCCCAAATATACTATTTAGCACCAAAAAAAGAAAAATCGACTTTTTAAAATTCCAATGTAAGCAGCAAATTAGCATCAAAACAATTAGAATGTTTACAATTGCGCTGTAACCACACTATTAGATGCTTCTATTTGACTCTCAGATATGAAGTGCACCGCAGGCCCCAAAATGTACTATTTAGCAGATTAGTAGCAAAACAATTAGAATGTTTACAACTGTGCAGAAAGCACACTATTAGACGCTTCGATTTGACTCTCAGATATGAAGAGCAGGCCACAAAATGTACTATTTAGCAGATTAGCACACATCATCTTCCACCCACTCCTCAACCCTGCCCTCCTTGCCGGTATGCACACTGCAGAAAGCCACAGCAGTTGGCACCTGTGTTTTTCCAGCATGTAAAGTCTGCAAAGGACATATGGAAATTGTTTTAGCATTTCCTCCAGGCAACAGTTTTCCCTACAAACTGACCTCTCAGTTTGACTTGTGAGGGTATTGCCCCAGAATTACAATATTGTTGAAGTACCTCTTAGCTATTGATCACTGGTTTGAATATAGCAGCTTGTTATCGGGTAGTTTCTAGTGTAGAAAATATCAATCTGTTTTCTATCACTTAGATCTGTGTAACAAGTGTTGTAGGTGTGAGACAATATTACAAGTGACCGATGTAGTAAATTAATATCAAAGTTACGCTTCGATTTGACTCTCAGATATGAAGTGAATACCCCAAATATACTATTTAGCACAGAAAAAAAATTGACTTTTTAAAACTCCAATGTAAGCAGCAGATTAGCAGCAAAACAATTAGAATGTTTACAACTGCGCAGTAAGCGCACTATTTGACGCTTCTATTTGACTCTCAGATATGAATTGCACTGCAGGCCGCAAATGTACTATTTAGCAGATTAGCAGCAAAACAATAAAAATGTTTACAACTGCGCAGTAAGCGCACTATTAGACGCTTCTATTTGACTCTCAGATATGAAGTGCACGCCCATAAATGTACTATTTAGCAGATTAGCACCCAGAAAATAAGAATGCTTACCACTGCCCTGTAAGCGCACTATTAGACGCTTCTATTTGACTCTCAGATATGAAGTGCACTCCCCAAAATGTACTATTTAGCAGATTAGCACCCAGAAAATAAGAATGTTTAACACTGCGCTGTAAGCACACTATTAGACGCTTCTATTTGACTAAGTTTTAAAACTGCAATGTGACAGCAGTATTTGACGATTCTATTTGACTCTCAGATATGAAGTGCCCCCACTAATGTACTACCCCACTAAAGTACTATTTAGCACCCCAAAAAAATTACTTTTTAAAACTCTGTTGTAACCCCTGTATTTAAAGCTTCTATTTGACTCTCAGATATGAAGTGCACCCCACCCCACTAATGTACTAGTTTGAAGAATTCTTTCCTAAACTGTCCCTATCAGCGGCAGCATCCTTTCCCTACAATAATAAGACTGCATGTGCATGCAGCGCTACGCGACTCCAGCTTATATATAAAGGCTGGGTCACATGCTGCACTGGCCAATCACAGCCATGCCATTAGTAGGCATGGCTGTGATGTCTTCTAAGGGCACACGAGTCAAACGCTTGTTGATTGGCTGCCCTGCAGCCTTTGAAAACGCGCTATTAACAACGAACTCCAACCCGAACATACAGTGATATGTCCGTGTTCTTGTCCGTGGTCCTTTTCAGTTCAGGTTCGCTCAACTCTATTCCTGGCTATTTTGGTCTAAAAGTTTACCAACTGAACGACCCTAATTTCTGTTAATTCTTATCACTTTTGCTTCAATGTGAAAGTAAAAATGCCATCACGATTTGAAAAAACAAAGGAATACACATAAAACAATACACAGGGTTAACAACTAATGGGAGAATTGTCAGTAATTCAAAGTGAATCCACAGTGAATTTCAAAGTAACCAAACAGGAAGCATAGCTGACTTGACGTTTTCCATGTTTGCCATTTTGGCCTTAAATTTTAAATTCAATTCTAGATGAATCTCAGTTTAGTAAATAACCTTGAAACATTATGGTTTTCCATGTTTGCCATTTTGGCCTTAAATTTGAAATTCAATTCTAGATGAATCTCAGTTTAGTGAATAACCTTGAAACATTCATGTTTCAAGGTTATTCACTAAACTGAGATTCATCTAGAATTGAATTTCAAATTTAAGGCCAAAATGGCAAACATGGAAAACGTCAAGTAATATTAACCTCCCAGTGCCAACATTATTCTGAAGAAACTAACAACTGAGAAGGAACTAATATCTCCTACATTGAATACATATTCCGCTTTGAAGTCCCCTAACAACATTTCTGAAGGGTGAGGGGTCTCCCACAATGTCTGCCCTTCTCCTGACCCCCTGGTCTCCTTGAGGTAATATACAATGTGGCTACAGTCATAATTTTATCTGGCATAAAGTACATTACTGCTTACTGATCTACTGTCAGCTAATCTAATACATTTCTAGTATGTTAATTCCTAATTTTTTTTTTTTTTTATGTTTTCCCCAGTTACTCATAAACTAAAAGAAAGCACAGCGCCAGCCCAACAGTGTGCTTATATTTGTTAATCAGAAAATCTGAGAATGCTTAGAGTGCATAAAACATAGAATCCCCATCAAAACAAAGAAAAAAAAGACATCCCTATATTTCAGCCCAGTATATGTAGTCTGCAGAATTCATGTTTTAACGTTGGACGTTCCTTAATTAAATATTGTAACATCTTTTGTTTTTTTACAAGATGTCTAACATTTAAGATTTCTTGTCATTTTCACATTGGAGGATGAAGATTATTTGCTAAAGTCCTAAAAGAACAGTCTAAGCACCATAAACACTGCAGCTCGCATTAGTAGTTATGACGCCATGAGTGCCCTTGTGCCCCTATTTTATGTAGTCAAACCGGTTTTCAACAGTTTGAGTTCTTACTTGGGGTCCGCTGGGCGTCCCTCCCTACACAACTACTGTTGGAGAGCTGTAAGCTCCTAAGCAGGAAGTTCTGTTGACACTCCTGAAATAAGCACTGCAGTGCTATAGCTTCAAAGCATAAAATGCAGTCAGGTTTTCTAATAGCAAGGGCTACTTCTGAGGTAATAACATTGATGCAGTTTTTAATTTTATTTTTATTTCGTGAGAAACAATATGCCAGTAAAAAATACTTTACCTTGTACAATTGGCTCCTTTGAGCAAGCTGTAGTGGTTATAGTGATTGGAATGTTCCTTTAAACATCAGTATTGTGGGATAGAAGATCTGATGACTTGGTATACAGTAGACTAAGATGGGTAGGGGGTCATATGGCTTTCCCTCTGATTTGTAAACGCAGGCTATCTCTTTGTATGTATGTTTCAGTGCTTTTATATCTATCCGTGGATGGATTATGGTCCCAATGAGAGTTGCTGTGTCCTGCAAATTCCGAGCACTGTTTGATATCTCTCTGGCTTTTACACAACTAAAAATCAATCTTGCATTATTACATCTCGCCTCATTAAGTGACCTCAGGCCCCTCCGCAACATGCTCCACTCTCAATGTCTCAGCCCAATTACCCAGGACCAAAAACTAATAAATGAGTTTAAGCCATAGCAATATTTTGTAATGATTCCCATCTCACACAGCTGGGGGGAGGGGGGGGGGGAGAGAATCACACAATAGAAATAGGAGCTTGTGAGTAGCCCTTCAATGTAAATGCTCATTTCTCAGGAGGCAAAATCAGGGAGTGAGAGGATTTGGAGTGAGAGATGTATCATGTCAGTTCATACATCTAATGTAGTGCTGGAAAGCCTTAGCTTTGAGCAATGAGCTGTGTCAATCGTGCAGGGAATATTCTCTATAAGGTCACTAGTGATAGATCTGCAGCTGCCTTAT